ACTCCCCCCGCGGTTCTGCAATTTGTTAGTTTTGAGTTTTTCAATTTATTATTCATTTTTCTAAATTTGTTTGTAATTAAATTGTACTGGTTTTGCCTACTTAATTATAATTAGAAAAAGTGAGAATGAAGTATGATAAAACTGAATATAATCATTAAAAACATTAAAAAAATAAATATGATATAATTATTTTAAAAAATATATAACAAGAATAAAAATAAACATGATGAAAAATATTTTTCATTCTTATTAGAGATGAACTATAATCATTGAGAAATTATTTAAAAGTTAATACAATCAGTTGACAAAATATATAATTAATTCACATATTTTGTGTGATTTTATTCATTTCATGTTTAACTATTGTTTTAGTTTCAAATTTAAAGTTGTTATTAATCTCAAAGCAAGAGTGTTGTTTATTAGTTGTTTTTTCAAATTAATAAATCAAAATAATTTTTTTATTAGTTAAATAAGAGAAGAACAAAGACTAATTTTTAAAATTTATTAGTTTCTATTGTCTGGAACACATATATACTTAGAATGAAAGTGAAAATGTTAAAAAGAATTTTCTTTTTGATTCAAAGAAGTGCTGTATAATTTGTTATCATCATGTCAATACTATGTTTCAAAATGTAGCATTTGATTAATCTGTAACATTTTTAGTTAGTTTGGTATATTAACTTCTAAGTGTTCGACTAAATAATACATTTTTGAAACATGACATATATAGATTCGAAACAAAACTCTTAAAACCTCATAATTTATATAAAAATTACTAGAATAACACTATAATCCTTTAAATATATAATTAAAACACTAATATATAAAAAGTTATATCTTAAGAAATATAATTGATTGCATATAATTTTTATTAAAAAAAAAAATACATGTACGTGGCATGAACATAAAATCTAGTGAAGTATCAAAACTAGAGAGGTGCATTTTCCTCCAAGTGTAGCAATAGAGTCATGGAGTGGATAGTCGAAGTGATTTGTCGTGGAGTTCAACATCGAGATTGTAACATCCCTATCCCAGGCTCCTAAGAGAGCCGGGAACCGGGTATGTTAGATCGACCATCGAACCGCGTCCGGTAGGATGTCCGATTTGGTGAGCATACAGGATCGCCAGGAAAACGCCCAGGTAACAATCAACAATACAGACTTAGGCTGATCTCTCTACTAAACCTGAAAGACAAGGGAAAAGGAGGGGTGAGTAATTGGGATTACTCAGTGAGGGTGGACCTTAAGGAGGCCCACAACATCATCAAACTAGCATAAATTGGCTTTAAGAGACCTAATCCTAAAGCAGGCCCAAGCAACACAATATATATATTTACTTATATATAGACAGTTCATTCCTAGCATTCAATCACACAGCATTCAAGGGTAACCCTACAAACAACTACACAAGCAGCGGGTCCCTGGACTTGGCTGTAGTGGGCTGCCACATGGGCCCCCATGCCTCACCCGGAAAGGCAACCAGAATAATCCCATCGAATGGCTGGCCTATTACCATACCCATTAGTCAGGTTCACTCTGCTAGTCACACAGACTGATCCCAGCAATCACCAAGACAAGCTATGAGCTAACGGTCACTCAGACGGCTGCTCATAGCGGTCACCCAGAAAGCTGTACCCAGCGGTCCCTTTGGACGGCTCAATAAACAGTGGATCGCTAATCCACTCCAGTGATGGCTCTAGCCGTGCCTCACACGACAGCGATAGCCAACAAACAACACTGACTCCTGCATCCAGGAGCCAGGGGTCCTATCAGAGATCTATATGCACAACCATCCATTTCAAAGAATAATCCATTTCTTAAAGGTCCTTCCATTATTAAGATGCACTTTCGGTGATACCAATTGTAACAAAAAGGAACATTAATCAGGTTAACATCACACAACCAATATTTTAAAGTCCAATAAGTTTAGATCCAAGTTCAGGTTAATTATCTCATTCCACCAGCAACCAGCAATCATCAACAAACAGGCAACACAGATCCAGGTCCTAAACAGTTCTAGCAGCCCTAACAAGCAGATCTAAGCCTGATCTAAGAAAAGACCACTTAAAAGACAACCATGCATATGTAAGAAAGGATGAAGCCACAGAGCCCTCACCTTGGCTTAGAAGGCTGAGAAACTGGAGGAGGAGGCAAAGGAGAAGGAGATCTAAGAGGAGATCCATCCGAATCAGCTCCCATCTCACCCAAAGGAGAAGGAGGCGGCGCAGACATCACAGCTGGGCAAGGGAGCTTCGGCGGCGAGAGAGGCTTGGAGGATGGCGGCGGCCACGGCTAGGAGAGAGAGAGAAACGGCCAAGAGAGAGAAAGAAGAAGAAGAAAATGCAGAGAGAGAGAGGAAGAGAGCAGCTCGGCGCAGGGAGGAGAGAAATAGAGAGGAAAAAGGTGGCTAGGGTTGATTAAGAGCTTAATGAGGGTTTTAGGGATTTAATTAGATATTTATATGGAGGTTTAATAGATGGGTTGGACTTAATGGGCTCTTAAAAAAATATTAGGAAAAACCCAAATAAAAAGGAAATAAAAAGAAAAGGAAATAGAGATGGTTTAATTAAATAAAACCGGAATTAGGAACTGCTAACATCTGATATTTGGTTAACCAAAAGTCGGGATGTTACAGAGATGTTGAGAACAAAGTGAAGCGTGATGAAGTGAAGCGTGATGTAGATTACATGCTTAAGTATATGTATGTGAGCGACACATTAGTGTCTTTAAAGCTTTTAAACGTAGGTCTTGAGGATCCCAAGTTTTTTGTTTCTCTCCCTTGTCTCAAAAACATGCAGCTAGGAAACATGTATTATGAGGGCGATGGTCTTTTTATTATGCAAAGGCCCTTCTCATCCTCTACTGTTCTTTTTTTTTTTTTTTTGAATTGAATGTAAAATTTATTCCAAACCAAAAAAACTTGTTTACATCAAGTGCAGCTGTTTTTTGAGCTTAAAAGTTAAAAAAAAAAATTACAACGAAATTTTTCTATGCTCGTGCTTCAAACCAAAATTGGAGAGCATTCTCAAACTTGGCATCCCTTTTTTCCCGAATTGTGAATATGCGATTGCGAATCTGTTTGTCGATGATTTTAACAAGCCGAGCTGGTGCTATAGGATCTTCACCATGTCTTCATGAGTTTCCTTTCCAGAAGCTGTGAATGGCTGCTTTGAAGACATACATAATCAGAAAATTTTGACAGCATCGCTTGAAGAGACAGTGATGATGGGAATGATTTCCGACCAGTCTGACGTAAACCGTTCAGCAAGGAGTCCTCCGCATAATGACCTCCATACCAGGCTAGTGTATCGGCACCTGAAAAATATATGGTCTTGAGTCTCCATGGGATCGTGGAATAAGCTACAAACTGTATTTGCGTCCCTGTTCCATGAAACCATACGATCACCCTTCGCTAGGCGATTGCGGATCGTCAACAAGGCAAGGATATAATACTTTGGGGTTGAGTGCTTGAACCAAATCCCATGGTACCAAGGCTGCTGCGGACTGACTTCCTGGATCAAGGACCATGTCTTCTTTGACATAAATCCTCTCTTAAAAGTCTCATCGTCTTCCTTGTGTATTATCGGCCCTATTCTGAGTTCATCAAGCTTTGTCTCCATTTGGTTAAAGAGATCATTCCTACGGTTGCGTTTGCGATGATTTGCAATAGCTTTCACCACCATAGACTGAAGTGTTATCCCCATATCAATGCACCCTCTCAGTCCTCCAATAACAATCAGACGGCCCATAGAGGACCAAGCTTTGAATCAGAAAGATGTGCGCTCTCAGTTACCAACTTCTACTTTGAAGAATTGCTTCGCCTTGTCCCTATACTTTAGGATCTTTTTCCACATCCAAGACCCTAAACTTTTAGTGGATCTCAAAGACCAGAAGGAGCCTTGTCTAATCAGGTAAGTCTTGGTCCAATTTACCTATAGTGAAGGATTGGATGATGCAATTCGCCATACTAGCTTAAAACGGCTAACTGTGTTTGCCTCCTTAAGAGGTCGTATTTCAAGACCGTCTTCACTCATGGGTTTACACACTTCAAACCAGGTTATCTTGGCTTTCTTCGCATTTAAAACCGGGCCAGACCAAAGGAAAACCGAATACAACTTCTCAATTTCCTGCAGACATTCCGATGGTAGTCTGAACGCAGATAACCAGAAGTTAGTTAAACTGCAAATAATCGATTTTACGAGCTGAAGTCTTCCGGCAAAAGACAAGAATCAAGTCGTCCACAAACTGATCCGACTTCTGATTTTCTCTATTAGAGGTAAATAGTCTTGCAGCATCATGCATCTCATTAAGAGAGGAAGACCCAGATAGCGGACCGGAAGTTGCCCTGAATCAAAGGGGAACCTTTCTTCAAAAGCCAGACGTGTCGAAGCAGAGATCCCTGCCAGATATAGAGTGGTTTTCTCCATACTGATCCGCAGACCTAACTTTCTCGCAAACTCCTCAAAGATGCCTGTTATTCCTTCCACAGAACGGATTTTCCATCAGTTAAGACCATGATATTCTACGCAAAGCTCAAGTGAGTAAGGCCAATGTTTTTGTACTTCGGGTGATAACCAATCACTATGTTTTCTGCTGCTCGGTCCAAGAATTTTGAGAGCACACCCTTGCCTCAGCCTTCGTTCACTCCAAAAAAAAAACCTGCCAGTTCGCCATTGACTTGAACATAGAAAGAAGCTGTGCTAACACAAAAGTGAATCCAGTGAATAAATTGCTGTGGAAGATTCATAGCAGTCAGCGTATTGATGAGGAAGGGCCATTGGAGTGAATGGAAAGCTTTCGAGATATAAATTTTGATGGCACACTGAGATGAAATTGATTCTTTATGGTAGTTTTTAACCAACTCTGTCGCAAGGAGTAAATTCTCGATCAACAATCTATCTTTGACAAAGACCGACTGGTTTAGAGAAATTAGATTCGGGAGAATCTTCTTTAATCGGTTTGCTATGATTTTAGAAAGCACCTTCTATATAACGTTGCAGCATGAAATCGGCCAGTAATCTTTCATCTCTTTGGCTTCTTTCTTCTTCGGTATTAAGGCTATAATTGTGGTGTTGATTCCTTTAGGTAAAAAACCTTTTGCAAAAAACGCTTTCACTGCAAGATGAACTCTGCACCAACAATAGACCAAGCTTTCTTGAAAAAATCAGATGTGTAACCATCAGGGCCAGGGGACTTATCGTTTGGCATAGCAAACGATGTTTTTCTGATTTCTTCATCTGTTACTTCATGCAGAAGCAAGTCATGTTCAGAAACAGGACATTGTGGCAACAAACTCTGAATGTCTTCCACAGATACTCCCTCAAAATCTTTAGGTTTGTGTTGCAAAAACTCCCTGAAAAAATGCTCTGCCTCTGCCTTTATATCCTCACTGCTCAAGAAATATTCCCCTCAATATTTTGTATTTTACGGATTGTGTTCTGAGCTGATCTAGCAACCACACCCTGGTAGAAAGCTTTGTTTTTCTTGTCCCCCACATTAAGCCAATGCATCTTCGATCTTTAGTTTAAAAATTTCTCCTCAATCCCCGGAATTACCTCCCATCTAGTATAAGCCTGTATCTCTTCCTCCATGTTTAGTGTTGTCGGGTTTAAGAGATTTTCTCTTGCTTCTCACACATTACATCTCTTCGAAAACACCATAGGACTGTGCAAAACCTCTACAACCATTTCTCATTCACAAGAAACCTGGTCCAGCTTCTTTGATATCAAACCATTTCCTCTCTTATTACACCATGTGTACAGTGGACCCTGGTATGGGAGATCCAACAAAGAGTTGTACCTCACCACCTCTTGAAAATCCCTCATTCCAGAAGTAACATTAGGAGATGCTTCAAAGCTCGAATGCTCCTCCATATCTAGAGTTTCATTGAAATCCCCAAACACAAGCCATGGATTGTTTCTGATAATAGGAGAGTTATGATGACCTCTAATATCATTCCATAACTCTTTTGTTTATCCATAAAATTTGACGCATAGATGAATGAGCCAAAGAATTGATCTGCCTTGCACTCGTCTAACTTAATCGAACAAGTAACCATCTGTCCACTCTTGAAAACCAGAGTGACCCTCACATTACACCTCCACACTATCCAGATCTGACCCAAACGACTGAACTCATAATTAGTCAACACTGGTCAATCATTAAAAATCAATGACACCAGTTGCTGAGCTTTACTCTCTTTAACCCGTGTCTCTAAGAACCCACCAAATTGAAAATCTCCATTCTCACCCACCTTCTTATTACGGAATGTTTCTCATATTTATTTAAGCCCCGCACATTCCAGAAGAATCCTGACATGGAGATTATGTCTTAATGATCCTCTTATTACCTGTAGCAATCGAATTTACATACTTCATGCTAGAGGTCAAAGATTCCGATAAGGTTTTGTTAATGCTTTTTGAAGCTCGTGGCAGAGTAGGCCGAAGGACTCTTTCCACGTGCTCTTCCTTTGGTGCTTCGTCTTTTTGATCTTGTAATATCTCACCCTCTTTGCTCTCTTGGTGACTGATGCGTGTCAACTGCGTGAGGGAACAATTTTTACCCTTAACAAAAACAAATGAAAGCCGCAAGTGCACAGCTAATCAGTTGTAGTATTTAGGGATCGAATCCACAGAGATTTGTGTGCCTGGTATTCTTCTACGGTTTCTAACTTTATGTCTAGACTAGATTGTTTTTAGAGGTTGGTTGTTTGCCACGGATTAAACTAAAGCAAAAGAAAGAAAATAAATCTATCCTAAGGAACAAGTAGGAAAATCGAATAGAAAGCAAATAAAGCAAGCAAAATATCGAATTAAGGCAATAGAAATGCAGATCTAATTAAGCAAGTAAAAATCGATTGGTTTGTAAACTATGGCTAAAAACGCTGAGCTTTCGGGAACTCTACAGGGATCATAATCGGTTTTGACACTAGGGTTGATAGATTGGGATTGACGGATATCGATATATAGGGTTCTAGAGCTAGAGTACAGCGGTATGACTACGTCACTGTCGTGATCATAACCAACTGTTTCTCGCAACCCTGACCAGTAGGTTTCCACTCTAGCCCTGGAAGGGAGCGAAAGCAAGAGCTGCACAAGACTCGTCAATACTCACGATCTCGCCGCAGGTAGGTTTCCCCTCCTACGGAAAAATCGCCTGTTTCATTCTAGGGCTGATACTTAATGAAAACTTTCGCAACACTAACTATCTAGATCAGATACTAGGTGATCAATCAAGCATACATGCAATAAGAACGAGAATAAAAAGAGAACAAAGTTAAAATCGCAGATCTATAAACCTAGATGTCTTAATCGATTATGAGAGCCCCTTTCGGAAACCCTAAGCCCAACTCGGGATCTGCTCAGACATAGCTGAGGTCACATCATCATTGGTTTTAATAAAAGTAATCAAAAACAGTAAAGAAAAGAGATGAAAGAAAGCTTCTCTATTGAAGAACTCAGACTTGAACAATCTTCTACAAAAATCGCATAAAAACGGCTAAAGGAAAAGGGTTTCTGTAAAGTATGAAGGGTGGTGTCTAAAAATGACCTAAATGATAAGTATTTATAGTCTTCAATACTCCATGGTCTCTAGAGTTCTGGAATTGAGGCTAAGATGACTTTGGGCTTCAGAAATGTGGGCTTTAATTCGGAGTTGGTCGGCCGCGGTCGGGAATGACGTGACCGCAGGAAATAGGTGGCTGGCCGTGGTCGGGGGGCTTGTGACCGCGGGGAAGGGACTGGTGGCCGCGGTCGCGTGACTTGCTGGCCGTCTTCGAGTGGCTCCGGGGCTAATGGCATATCTTGAGATCCAACCATTGGAATGTCTCCAAACCAAATGCATTTCAAAGCTGATTGATTCTTCTATACGTTGTCCAATTTTGAGGGTGATCAGACGGTGTGAATGTCTTCGTCTCTCCGTGAGAGTTCTGACGGTCTGCATTTATCCAAAAAAAGTCTTTTTGTTCCAATTTGTGCCTCTTTATCCCAAATTACCTGAAAAATCCTTTAAAAACCTTTGAAAATGGAGTAAAAACACCTGTAAAAGACATTAAAGTGATCCATAAAAATGGTCAAAATCCGGTGTTATCAACTCCCCCAGACTTAGTCTTTTGTTTGTCTTCAAACAAAACAAAGGTTAAATCTCGGCGAGAGGTTTGAAAACACAGGAACTAAACAAAATCTTAGAGACCAAACTTCTAGAACAATATCAGTATGCATCAATCGGGGATAGCCTAGAAAATTCTCACTAGCAATACAGGCATAACTAGTCCGTTAATCCGTCATGTGGAAATCTATGCACTAAGATCTAACTTCCAGTTAACCAGCTCTTAACATTCATTAAAAATCTCGGTGGTTCTCATCAAAGAAAGTCTATGCAAGGCAATCTAGGCTAGGTATTAAAAAGGGTTATTCTAGGGGTAAGGCTTAAAGTGTTTACGGGTTACCTGAAGATCTGGAGGGTGCAGGATATTATGCAAAACCGCAAGAGAGAGTGAAGCTGTTGGTATCCACAGTTTTCAGTCACTTTCTTCTTGTCATAGCTTCCTGGTCTTCTTCCTCAGGTTCTCTCATAACTCCCCCAGACTTAGATTTTTGTAAATCTTTCAAAACCATAGCTCTATAAACGCATAGTAGTTGCTTCTTGCTCCACAAATTTTGACAATCTAGGACTCATTAGGCTTTTTGTTTCCCTCTCTCTTTTCATTCATTCATATATATATATATATATATATATATATATATATATA